CTCAACTCAGAAAACACACTTCTGAGAGGTGGGATTTGGGAACTCAAAATTCTAAAATAATTTTCACCGAAATGTAAATATATAATATATGTATGTATACGAACATAATGGAAAGTACAAATCCAATAAAGTATAAGTATGAGATTATTTAAAAACAGATACAGAAGTGATAGAGTGTGTATTAATTACTCAGTAATTACTGAGATGAACACAAAGCAAAGCACTGTTGAGGTGAGTGATAGCACGAATGAGTAGTTATCAACGACAGTACGTTACCTGCCCGATGCACCGCCGTCGACGTGTTGTTGTCGTTGGTGCGTGACGTTAACGTTGATCACTTGATGATTCGCATTCGAAGACGCTTCATTCAACTCTTCATCGTGGATCATACGTGCACACGCACCCATACCGAAACGAGCGTCCATTAATATCCGTTGGATATTCATCTTCGCCACTGCTTTCTTAAATCCAACCATAATATAAACCTTTTACTTTCATTTGAACTTGTTTATCGATATGAAACCATTTACATAGAATACTTCTGCACAAATCATTGCTATGATATTTATGTGCTCTATTTCGTTTACACACTGAAATTCTGAAATCGAGTAATCTGTTGAAAGAAAAGTTGATAATAAACAAACCTCATAAAACAAACTACATAAAACAAACCTCATCTTCGTTGAGTCTCGAAAGATGAGAAGCAATCGAATTAGCGAACGCAATATCAGCATCGGTTTGTGTTTGAATGGGATGACTGCTTAAGATCGTATATTGTGGCTGTTGAATTGTTATTGTTGGTGCAGTTTGTGCTATCGTATATCTCTGCGTTGAGGACTGATGCTGCTGCGATGAGACTTGCTGCGCGCTTTGTTGGCGGATTTGCACCGTACTCAACTGACCTGAAAATACGTTTTCACAGTTTGTACCACAACTAAAGTGGGTAAAAACAAGATATTATTACGAAAATCGTTAACATTTGCATTAAAATTAGTGATGAAAAAATGAACGGAACAAAAACAACACGGATTTGAACTGATTGTACAAAACACATTCTGTAAAGCAGCAAATCAATGAAATAGAAATGCACCTGTATTCGACGGGATGTGTTGGGTAATAGTATGATGACCACTCGCATTTAATCCTCCATGTTGCTGAGATGTGCCTGCATGTGCCTGATGGTGTACCTTAAACTTAAAATCTATTTATCTCATATCCAATATTCTAAGCACTCAATGGCTCAATAATCGTCACATATAATTTCAACAGATCTACTGCAGAAACCCAAGCGTGTGAGGAAACAATGACGAGGACTGAATTGAAGCAGACATCATAAACGCTCACTCATTGATCACTAAACAAATGAAAATCACTTCATGATTGAAACTTTATATTTTACCAAAATAGGAAATTTTAACTAATACAGCACGAACATTGACCTCAAAATTCACAGAATTTGATAATAGCAAACAGCTATAAAATCATTGGCACTGCCACTATTATTAGGACATACATTGAGAGGAGATGTGCGCCTGATATTAGTATCGCATTTATAAGAATAATAAAGATGAACCTGATGGATATTTGGTTGAGTCAGTACAACGTTTGGACTGCCAACAGTCACCACATGCTGATCCATTAAAAGTCGATCATTTGCGAGTGACGATTGCGATGCTAAACATTTTAAACAAATAAAGTAATTTAAACTGTTGATGGAACAACTTCGATAACTGACTGAACGACAGAATATGTATCAAACTAATGAAGAGGTAAACCAACTTTGATCAATGGTGACTGTCTTTTCAGAGATACCATCATCCAGAATGAGATCATCACCCAGTTGACCACGACCGTTCGATATGCCGCTGGCGGACGAGGTTGGTGCGAGACGCTTTCGGCGAATCGGTACAGAGGTGAGCACTTTAACGTCATTATTTGTTGAGACATTATTGACTGTAGTCACATTTGATGCGTTTGTTAACGCTGCCATATCAGCCGCATTCAGTTCTGAGACATTCACCAATCGATACCTTAAGAGCTGATAGTTAAATGAGATATAATAACGATAAATCAAATGAAAGATCAATGTAAAAATCAAACGGAATTGGGTGAAAAAGCGTGTACATATATTCACAATATATTCTAAATGTATTCAAAATGACTCAGCAGATTAGTCGCATACATTTTTTGTGAACCGTGCTGGTAGAATGTTGTAGGATCGATGAACATGGTCAATGTGCCGCCATCATCTACAAAAAAAATCATTCAACAATGAAGATACAATCCGATCATAACCTAAATAAATGAAAGGCTGAATCATTGAAACGTTCACCTAGCTTTATATGGCGATGCACATTAAATGTGATTTTACCCAATCTTTCGAAAGAACAAAATTTGACAACAAAAAACGATAAATTGTCATGAAAATAATCAAATCCGAAAATGAACGACATATTACTGAATAAGGAACGGTATTTTGCATGCAACTACTTGTTCGACTGTTTCATTCGCGACCTCGGACAGAATGTAATAACAAGAACAAAGGAAAATACGATGCTCGACTCATGACTAATCCAGCAAGTAGCATTGTCAACGAAAATATCAAAAGAAATCAATAACTTACTGGTCCTTATATTAAGATCCTTTTTTAAGATTGTAGCCACTGGAGCTGTACCCCTTGCCGTTACAGTCACAACACTTCCGTCATCTGTATGAATGGGCTCACCGATCGCTGGCTGTGGATCTGTTTTCGTGTATACAATCTGTTGAGTCGGAGCTGGCTGAAACGCAAAAAAGAATACTTATAAATAATCAAATACTAATTATTATGATCACAATCCCGAAAAAATAATCCACAAGAATGATAGTCACTAATAAGACATTACACATAAAACACAGACCCGTTGTTGCTGTGAAACAGGCGTTAAAACCAGCATATTAGACTGGTGAGGACTAGTGATCTGCTGTGTTTGTGGCTGATGATTCGAGAATGTAGTTACTGAACCGACATCTATTTCACTACTTGTCGTTGATGAGCATGGACTGCCTTCAATTGATTCTCTTATTAGCATTTGCTCACTATAACGACAACTTCGGACCCAATTTTAACTAATTAATGCTGAGTAAGTAGATTCAATGGTAAAAAGCAATGCTAGATTATAATAAGCTGTTTATTTTTCAACGAGTTCTGATAATACTACACAGATGTCAAAAAACAAATATTTTTGAAATATGAAAACAAATATTTTCCAAAAAGGATATGCTGCGCGTTGTTATTGCTTGTGTTTCACTAATCAGCTATGCAAATAACCTGCATCAATATTAAATTCAATGAAGCTCAGCAGATGTTGATATGAAATGATAGTGAAATTCAATAATACTTTAATATCCATTGGGACAACTCATGACTTTTCTTCTCACAATCAGTATTCAACGCATTCACTTGTCTTGTAACTGCAATTGAGCCCCAACGGATTACCTGTTGTAGATGGAGGTCCTGTAGTAGATTTCTGATTGTTCTTTTTCGTATTAGTATTACTGGGAGTGTTCGAACCATTCGGTAGCACTGCGGCAGAACGTTGCTGAACGGTGGCATAATCATGATGTGCTGGAGGTGCATTCACCGATTGTATTGCTGCTTGCTGTGGCGTTGTCGATTGACTGTTCGCTGGCTGATCATAACTGTAACTTTTGTCATCTCATTTATATGTTACAACTTTTGCTAAAAACACTCTCATGTATGCATAACAATTTCGAATATTTCCGTACAAAACTTTCTACACGACATATATCGTTTGCACTTCATTTAACTGACGAATTCATCAGTTGATGATCTTATTGGTAGCAAATTCACCAACTTGGGTGCATCAATATAACAGCTGCCCCTTTCATAATCGCATAAAAACTGTCACAAACATCAATAAAAAGAAAATAACACGTATAGGATCAGACGCATAAAGAACCTTGATCACAAGTGCACGTTCGCCAACTGTTGACAGAATTCCAATCATTAAAAAATACACAAATTCATCTCACTGAGCAGCATAAAAAATATGGCAACAAAGAGCATATCAACACAAACTAAGAATAGCTGATCAAACCTTACAAATAAGTNTGGGAATGACTGAATAGTGCGAACAACTTCAATGACTGACACTTCAACCGATCAGCACAGACTGACGAAGAAATATAACGTCCACAGCGTGAACAGAAATGACTTATCTCAATCAGTTCACCATCAGTAACATTCAATCAATTCGCTAAATTTTAATTTTCTACACGCTTCTGCTCTCATCTTGTATCACACAAAAATAATAGCGAAAAGTAATTACTAAAGATTAAAGATTAACAACTAATGAATTGCATTATCAATTCATGAAAAAAGTTAACTTTCAATTCATCGCTACACTGATCACTCAAAATAAGCGAACAGAGAATGAGCAAATGGAAGTGGAATTGAATGTATAACGGATGTGCGAATATGCTGCCATATTCGACTAAACCTTAGGCTTTATAGTAAAAAAAATCAAATAAATAAAATAACTGAATGAATTACAAAATCATCACACATTTTAAAACAGCTGGTTCAAATAAGCATTGATGACTAAACACACGACTAATGAATAAAACAAAAACAAAATAATTTGATGAAGAATGACCATAACATGTGAACTTAACAACGAAAAACGATCGTTCATTCAAACACTAAGGTCAAAGCAGTGAAATGCATCCATCAACGAACTGCACACTACGTAATCAAATAACATCGCATTGATGCCTCTTCCAACTCAATTCAAACCTCAAAAATTGACTGTGCCGATACTCACTTCCACATCCAAAACAACGCTCAACACATGAACTCTTTCAATATTTATCACTGTCCGATGAATTTTTAAAAAATGAAACGAACAAGAAAGCAATTTCTCGTAGGAGACACTGCAGTATTAGTGTCGAGAATAAACTCAAAGAAGTGAACTACGAAGAGAACATCCAAATAAGTCATAAAGACCCAAATAAGTTGATCACAGTAACAAATAACAATCGAAAAATTTGTCGACTTGCAAAGCTGATAAAATTTGAAATGATTTCAAAATACATAGGAGAAAAATCAGGAAAAACTACGAGGAAATTCAATGCAGAAAAGCAGGAAATAACTGAGACAGTTCAAGACAAACCTGTTCAAGAGTACTCCGTCTTCTGATGTGCTAACCACAACTGATGCATTCGCATCCTGACTTGCCAAATCGGGTTCGCTCATAAAACACGAAAGCGTTTCTTCTTTCGGAGCTAAAATAATGAAAACATCGTTAAGAAGCCATCACACGCAGTTTGGTTTCTTGGCAATCATCATTCGGTCTGTCAGAGTTATGTACTGAATGCGTTCCATCAGAAGGTGAACGTATGAGACAAAAGAATGCACAAGGCCACTATACGATTGCCATTGCAATTTATTGAAATGAAACGATGAGTAGTTTGTTTGATTAAGAGAAGAGAATCACTCGAAAATGAAATATACCATCGAAAGTGAAACAAGTAAAATGTGAATCTAACCGGGCATTTTCTGAGCACTGGAGATAGTTTGTTGAGAGGATTGTAATGTTGAAGCATTCGGGGTAGTACTTCCAGCAGTTGCGTTATTTGGTTGAGCACTACTGCTTGTGTTAGAAGGTGTGTTACTACTGTCTGCATTTGCGTTTGAATTCGCCGTCTGAATAGCAATATTTTAGATCAGACAATTTATCAATCTCGTATAAAATCTAAGAACACTGATGATTTACAGAATACACGTGTATGGAAACACATATCTATTATTCTGTGTTTCTAAACAATAGCAGTACACAATCAATAACGCTGAAGGCAATAGACGCACCAAATTATCAAATTCAAAAAAGAAAAATGATGAAACATTCAATATTGGATGACTGAACAATCACTGAAACAGATCAGTAAATGAATCGATGAACAAAAAATAAGTCAAATGAGTGGATCAACTCACATCGGCAATGTAAGGTTCAAGCCATCGCATCATCTCATAGTGACGCGATACCGCCGAGTTCGTATTTCCACTCGAAGTTGAGCA